CTTTTTTAGCTTGATTTCGAGCTCTGGCATACAGGTTATAATCAGACTCGCTGCGAGTTCGTAAATAACGCTTGTAGGCTTCTTTCTTGGTCTTTAGCTGAGTCTTAACTGCACTGGTCATCCACTGGGATTTTTTGACTCCTCCAAGCGTAATCTTGGGTACATAGGCATCAACATAACCGTCATAGACATAACCGTGTCTTTGAGAAACGACCATGAATCAGCCACATTCATGTCCTTAATACAGTCCGAAATATTCGCCGCATTCACTGTTTCACGGAGTTTATCGTAGTCGCCTTTCGCAAAGTTCAAACGTTCACGCTTCCGAAGCGTCTTTTCTGCACAACACTTAATATTGAAAAACAATGATTGGTGGTGGCTTTTGGTTGGGCTTTTGCCCAACGGAGTTGCGAGTTCAAGACCGCAAAATACTGTGAATGTTCTGCGATGTTAATAATCGGTGACAGGCCTACGGCCTGCCAAACGCTGAAACCGCTAATATTATCATTTTTAATTCAACTTGTTATTCCGAAATTCTTGCAATATTTTGATAGTTTGGTTAATTGTTCAGATCGATAGCTTAGCATAAAGTTCGATGAGATATAATAAAGTATTGAGCATCAAGTATTCCACCGGTATTTAATAGCGATAGTAACATTTTTTTAACGAACTTCTGCGCCCGATAGCTGCGTTATGTCTCACGGTGACACCTGCTGACAACATGCCTTCATAGACGTCTTTTAGAGTATTGACTGGAGTCGATAGATAGATCTAGAATCAGCTGAGATTTTTGACTCTAGTCACTAGGTACTCGATAGCCCGTAGTCGGTACTGTGTTGTATATTGTGTTGCACCTGCACAGAAAGGCAATGAATTTTTTAGCAATATGTATATATTTGAATCTGTTTATTGTATCCTTTGCTCGTATAAGAGATCCATATAGTATTCTTGGAGTGGATAAACATGCAACAACAAAAGAAATCAAGAACGCATACAAGCAACTTGTCAAAGAATGGTAAGTTGGAATGGATAGATTTTTTTTTAGTATTATACCATGAAAACATGAAACTTTTTGTAGGATTTTTCTTTTCAATTTGCTTGGAAAAAGTTTGTCAGATGATCAGATCCATGAAATTTTTTTATAAGCCAATAAAAGAATAATTGTCTACATTTCTGAAATGTCAAGAAAATGTTAAACCATTGTTGTTGCAAAACTTTTGTCAACTTGTATACAGACCCTTGAGAAATTGAGATATTACGGCTCCCATTACTCCCATTATCCCATAATGGGCCTGTTATTGGGCCAGGCCGCCAGCATAGTGGCAAAGCAGAGAGTTTTTTAGACTCTCCCTCAAGTTCATTTTTGAGTCCTATAAGTAGACAAGCAAAGTATCATGGATACCAGCATTATCATACATAAGAAATTGGTTTAAATCTTGAGTAAATGAGGAGATTAAAAATGAACCGATTCTAAAAAATCTCTGGTTTGTCACTATGGCCGCCAGGGCAGGGCACAGAGGCAAATGAGAAAATTTGTTATTGCATAGGTAGGTGCTTATCCTCAACTGTGAGTTCATTTTTGTGTGATCACTGCCAGTGCCATGTACTGATCATACTGATGTAGGCCTACCGCCTATATAGCTAAGTATAGCAATCTGGATTCTGGAATATTGGGTCAGAATTTACAAGAAATTTTAGGTAGGGTAAACGCGGTATATTCCAACATCGTAGGTAATTCCATCACCTCTCCAGCTTTTCCTTTATATTAAGCTTTGTTTTAGTTCCATGTGTTTGTTGATGGTTGAAATGGTGACGTGCCAACAACAATGAAACGTCACAAAATGTTGCCATATTTATTTAAAAGCCTTTAGAATGCAAACCTACCAAATCCCTATATTCCGACACTATGTGTGGCAATATTCGGCATGTGGTGAGGCGTATTCCGTCTGCGCTTCAAATTCTACTGATACGTAATGCCGTCATCCACGTGTTCGAATTCCGTTTGCTGTGTGAGCTGTATTGGAATACAACACGGCTTTGAATTAGAACACTAATGAATATTGAACACTACTTAATTATGCTTTTAATCAACAACTATTAAGCTTTTGATTAAGCAAATATTAATTTTTGTACATAGCTTGGAACGATCTGTGGGTGTCCAATTCAAGTTGTGACGGAATTAGTTTTCACGTGTCTAAATCCATTTCTCAACTTAATCATATATTCATTTATTTACCACTTGAAATCAGCAAATACAAGTATACTTAAAGGATTCCTAATATATTCACAGACGTATTTAAAAGTCTCAAACCATAATATTCTTCCTATACAAACAGTTATTTACTATTTGGTAGAGCAATGTCATCTGTCAAATTTGACACATTTTTCGATGATCTCACTGGGTAGCGTGCATTGTCTCTCTTTGGATCTCAATATTTTCCCGCTAGATGGCCAAGACTTAGTGTTTTGGCAGTAGTTCGACACGCAAATGTATGACGTCACCATTTCAACCATCAACAAACGCATGGAACTAAAACAAAGCTTATTATAAAGGAAAAACTAGAGAGGTGACGGAATTACCCACGATGTTGGAATATACCGCGTTTACCCTATTTTAATTTCTAAGCAAAAATATTCTAGTTATGTTTCTTTTTAATGAAATAAAATCATTAGGCCAAGGCTAAGAGCTGTAAAAACGTATAAAATTGATTATCAGCCCAAGTCCATGGTGGAATTCCAGGATATGGTTGATCATTCAGCTCCACTGCTCCTTCAGGACCACTGCCAGCCTGCCAGGACAGTTCATGGTGGGATTCTAGGAAATGCACATGAACATTGCTCCAACCCCCCTCAGCTGCTACAGGCAGTACTGTTGACTGGGAGGGGCATAAAGCAACCATGATCATGAGGACCAAGGGTGGTGCCATGCTTCTGGCGCGAACGCGCTAGCGGTGGGCCAGGGCGGTGGCCAGGCACAACACCGTGATCTGTCTGAGGCTGTAATTCAATTGGAGCTTGAGAAACTTTTTACGTTCAAACTTTACCTACTTGATTAAGTCTTTGCTGCACGATGATGCACCCTCTAACTCTGACCAACACTTCATTCATAAGTTCATAACAATTACTTGTTGAATTAAACCCGAAAACCAAACTATGCTTAACATTGATGGCTTGAGGACACAATTGATAAAGCAACACTCAAAAATATGAAGGCAAAACATTTTACAAACATTGTGGAAACATTAGTTGTAAAATTGTAATGTAAATATATGTTGTAAGTTTTGATGTGGATTTAAAATTGATGTACCTATGATTCTCAGTTTGTATAACTATCATGATATTAGCAATAAAATATGCTTAGATATTTACACTACCTAACACCCCTACACCTTGCGGAATACATTTGTTCTTCCATCTTTCTAATGTAAACAAACGGTTCCTTTGGCCTGATCTGTCTATCCATGTGTCGATGCAAGGACATCACTTTACATGCAAGTGTTTTGTTTGAACTGTAAGTGCTTGCTAATTTTTCAATTTAGTTCTTGAACCTTGCCTTAAAATGAAGTGTGAAGCAATGGCTATTAAATTTTAAAGTGAAGTGAGTGACTACGTGTTTTCTTGGTTACCGGTATTCAAGTCGATAAGACTGGTAGGCAAGGATTACGCTCCTGTCTCCATTACTCATGAGTGATGGCTGGAGCGTAACTTAAAAGTAAAAGTTAGAATAAATTTTTCCCTTGTTTTTCTACTTATAACAGTCTATATTTTGGCTTTATTATTTAAATATATTATATAAATTTACAAGTTGTTTCTAAACAGTGGTATGATTATGTAGATTTCATTGTGAATAGGCTAGTCACAAGTTGCAGTCTGATGGTAGGGGGTGCACCACCACCATCAAACATCATCACTTTCATCTGCTCAGCTGTCAAGCTTCAAGCTGTCACAGAAATGGAGCCAAGCCATGCGCAGTGCAATGCTGGGTGCACTCCTGTTTGGGTGTGGGTGCGCTAGTAAATTCCATAAGTAGATGATAGTTAAGAATGCATCTAGAATGGCACCATGACCACCGGAGCACCTAGTTGGGAAAAGTCCGCATTTTTTTCTGAAATATTGTGGCTCTAATATCATATGATTTCAGTAGGTATGCAATCTCATGGCTCTTATGTCACATATTTTTATTTATTGAAGAAATCATGGTTCACAAGCATGTCATTTCATAAAATTTTGAACTTCCACAGTCCGCAGTACTTAGTAACAGGCTCCTGCCAAAATATCATGCATAACAAAATCTTACCAACTAGTCAATCTAAAACGTTTAGTTGGACTTTAGAGATTGCATAGTTGTGGTTGCCTCTAAAGTAAAGGCAAATCTTATTGTTGCTGTTTCTAGGGTAAAATTAGAGATTTGGGGTAACATATGCACAGACATTGGCAAATCAGTTTGCAGCTTGTAAATAGCTCTTCATGGCCAAGATATGAAATTAACAGTTCAAAGAAATGGAACTACGGCTTGCAAATCCATAAACAAAAAAATTTTTTCCATTCTATACCTAACATTTAAAAAAATTCCCTGCCATTAACAACATCAACTTCAAGCTTCATGTCAGCAGCCTTATTTGCATTTCCACCATAAGCTTTCTGGACTGGGATTGTAATTTTGCACCATTTTTATTGAGTCAAGTGAATCAATTCACTATAACAGAAGAATATTGTAAAAAACATGCCTGAAACAGAAGGGAATAGTTTAGTGACAACCATTATATTTTTTGAATAAATAAATCATAGTTTAGGTTAATTACTTTTCATTCTATGTTGCCTGGTGCACAATTCTGTCTATAAACAATTTTGTGCTCTTCTAACAACTTTTTCCAGATATGGCGCCTCAATGCCATGATCTTTCGGAAGTATTTTCCAGTCTTTGGAGAAAACAGTGTGTATAATACAAAAGACAAAATTGTGTGTTTAATAGCTTAAGGAAGTGTAGAAATAGATAGAAAAACAATTATAACAGGGATGATCTTAATGGATCAATGTTTATTTCTATTTCTTTCAATAACAACATCATTTCTTTCAATTCCAGGCACCCGGATAAGAATCCATCTCCTGAGGCCCAATCCAAGTTCATTGAGATCAGTGAGGCCCATAAGGTATATATTTATATATAATTTTAGAGTGTGGTTTACCGGCTTCTTTGTAGAGTACGTACATGTAGAATTGTTAAAAACTTATAATGTTGTTATGGAAATTTGCTTATCAATTCATGAGTTTTGGTTTTAGTTTGAAGCCAATGATTAGCTTGTTGAAATGTGTAACATTATCATGTTAAGCTGATTCACCTCTTTTTGGCTACACTTTGACCTCACTTTGGTTATTGTATAAAAAATTTGTTTAAATTACAGTATCACAAACTTTTCATGAAAATAGTCCAACTATATTAAATTGATTGATTGATACATTTTTATTTATTATTTTTATTGAATTTTTCAAGTGCTTCTGTAGCTTTTTTAGAATGAGCCTATCACTAACTATTTTTTTAGGTTTCAAGTTGACAATCAGGTCTGATAATTTCATATTTTGCAGCTCCTTTCTGATCCTGAAAGACGTAGCCTCTATGACAAGACTGGACAAACGGACGACCAACCAAATTTCCGCAATCATGATGAGTTTTCAGCTTTCCACAACCAAGACCCGTTTGCCAGCTTCTTTGGAGGAGGAGCTCACCATGGCTTCAGATTCAAATTTGCTGAAACTATGAAAATATATCATGAGCAGAGCATCAATTTCAAGTGAGCTTGGAGTGCAGTTATAAGTGGTCAAAAATTAACATATTAATATTTGCATTCAAACTAAACCAAAAAAAAAAAAAAATCTAAAAGTTAAGAAGTTAAGGCAAATTCATTCTATTCAGCAAAATATTTAGTCAAAAATCATTAAAATCATTATGAAAGATAACTGTTTTTTTTTTTAAATTGGTTCTGTATTAAGAAGTTGTATTTATGAAATATATCTTGTGACATCAAACTAGAACCATATTGTTAACTAGAAATGCAGTTAAATCTGCTACTTGTATCATATGGCCTTCAAAATCTTGCAATAAGAAAATAAATTTATAGTCGCTTACAATTTAGTTTCCTTGGTTTTCCCTGTCACTATCAGGAAATTTCCCAGGCTTGTGCATTATACTGTACATTTAGCCTGTCTTTATTCATCAGTTGTTTGTGTAATTTTCAATTGTTAAGCAGTTATTGATATATTTTATGAAATAGAATCATACATATACAATGTATAGAACTGCTTTTGTGAAATTACTCCTATTACGTAACATTTAAGTACTAGACAAATTTAGATTTATATAGGTACCTATAGCTGATGGTATATTTAACTCAGAATGTTCTTTCTATAGATACTCTTTCATAGAATGTTTTATGTTTTGAATCCTGTGGGTGGGTTTTAAGATAACACCACGTGGTATGTACAGCAGAATTTTATGCAGAAATGAATAAATTCAAAATGTTCATAAAATCCTGATCAGTATAATTCTAATCCCAAATTTTATAAATTGTACCATCATCTTGTCTTAAGCTCTTCTTTGGTACCACACACCACACTTTAGTCCTTTGTATTTTTCCAGAACTTATGAAAATGTCATCAGCGGCCGTAGCCGCCAGCAGCCATACCTGCTGTTATTTTACTCAGATTTCTGTATGGCTTGCTCCCACATCGAACCCATCTGGCAGAAACTTGTTGAGGAGTTGCAACCAATAAACTTTGGGATTGCTACTGTAAGTATAGTTTATACCTCTGTTACCTGTACATCTGTAAATAATAGTTCAGAAGTTTCTGTTACCATTGTATTTATAACCTATAACTATATAAATTTTTCTCCCTGAAGTAGTACTACCTTCCTGACGATAATTTTTCATCTGATTGACTGATATATATGATCAACAGGTGCATGCAGGAAGAGAGGCTGAGCTTGCACGCAAGATAGGCGTGACCACCGTGCCTTACCTCATAATGCTTATGGATGCTCACCCCTACCACTACAGGGAGCCTTCACTCTCCATGGCTTCATCTCTTGGTCAGTTATCTACTGCTGTACTATAAACAAAAACTTGAGCACATTCTTAAAATATCTTTACAACTCACACATGACTCAAAAATGAATTGGAATTTTGTTTTTGTATAGCCAATTATTATGTGGATCAGCCTATGTCCACGAACAGATGGAGGCATAGCTACCAATAGTGTTGCTGACTTTTTTGCCTCTAATAGTCACAAATATTCTGAGAAAGCAAATGGCTTCTATGTTATAATTTACTAACATTTATATAAATAAGGGCAGATAACGAATAAGTGTAAGCAAGAAAGAGTTCGTTTTGTTTGTAATAATTTAGATCCAGGTGGAATCGAGACTATTTTACTGTATTGCTTTCTTAACATTTATGCATTTTTCACTGTTTTCAGCTGCATACATAAGTTTTGTAAGTCATTTTATTAATCATAATAATAGAATTGTTGCCACTCATAATAATTTATACTTTTATGTGCTTTGGTAAGTAGTACATCATCTTTGATGATCTTTGTTTCCAGAATTCATCCGAGGGCGTTTTTCACAGAAGCTTGTACAGCGTTTGGATGACTCCAACATTGATGCTTTTCTTGGGGGCTGGATGGACAACAGGGTCTGTACAATTTACCTTCTTTCCTGTAAACTAATTTGCACAGTTTAACTTTTAATTTGTTTGCAGGTATCTCAATTTGACGAGTTGATACTTATAAGATTCAATGCCAACTCCCGAGAAATAAAAACATATGTATGAGAATTATTCATTACCAGTGTCTATTACTTGAGATTTCTGGCCAGCTGTATCCTGTTAATCTCATAAATCAAATCTGTCTGTCTTATAAATCTTATTAGTATAAACCTTTCTACACTACGATCGTCCTTACAATATTCTTTTCGTCACTCTTGAATCTTTTGAAACATTAACCTCCAAAATTTGTAACTGTGCAGGTGCGTGTGGTAATATTCGGGCATTTGGATGTGATACGTCTGCGCTACCTAACTGTGGCCTGGGAGTTCCGCCAGAGAGCTCTCATTGGGTCAGTAAAGCCTTTCAGTTCATATTTATTACATACCATTATTTGCAAGGAAGCGTAACATTTCTTTATTGCAGGTTAAGTTGGTTATTAATAAGTTGACTTTCTTAACCCCATCCTTGGCAAAAACCTGTGAACTCGTTTCCACAAAAATGTAGATTTTTCAGCTCACAAATATTCGCGTCTAAAAGTTTACCTTTGAAAATTAGCTACACACGTATATACTCATCAATTTAAACCTTTGTTATAATGTTATAAACCTTTGTTATAGGTGCAAAACGAGTTCTCTCCGTGTATAACAATGCCACCAATATTATTCTAACATAAACATAAAAATTGTAGGCCAATATTAATTCTCAAATTCTTAATAACTTTTTTAGACATTCTAATTTCCATTTGATTTCTACTACTTTCATTGACCTGTGAAACATAACTGGCCTATTAAATACCTACATAACGTTCACAGGTATGCACCGCCAAGTAATACCACACTGTAATAACAACACTCGTACTGAACACCTGCCGTTCACAGGTGTGCATCACCATGTAACACCACACTCTAATAATAATATGTAACTCTTAATAATAATGTAATAACACTCGTACTGACCACATGCCGTTCACAGGTACGTGCAAATAGGTCTGCGGTCAACGGAGGCCGTGGTGTCACGGTACGCAGTGTCCACCAAGGTGGACACCCTCCTGGTGTTCCGGGAGGACGCGTCCACCCCCGCCGCGTCGGTGGCCATGGCCGACCTGCCCTACGCCACCATGCGGGACGTCATCTCGACGCACCAGTTCCTCATGTTGCCGCGACTGTCTTCACAGGTTATTAGTGTTGCACAGTTTCACAGGTTACTTGTGTTGCACAATTCCTTCGTTATTTTGTCCTGCTGTGCAATAGTTGAGCTGTATTGCAGTGATGGATAATCTCATTTAGCCCAATTAGTGATCAGATAATTGAATACTTATTTGATGCTAGTTATACGTTCGAAATAATTCCCTCTTTTAAAGGAGAACCCTATTTTCTACCACATGATGAATCACACTACGCACTCACTTCCTGACAGTCTGTATTCGAGGGGCTGTGCCCGGTCTCGGTCTCGCGGACTCGACGCCACTTCTGCGCGGTGTTATTCACGGAGAACTCGGCGCGGGACGACGAGGCTCGCGCTGCGCTGCGTCAGTACGCGCTCGAGCGTCAGCCGTCGCACGCCACGCACGACTCGCGACGCCCCGACCACCACAGCCAGCGCGCCGACACGCGGTACAGACACCTCGTCAACTACGCCTACATCTTCCAGGAAAAACAGGCGCATTTCGTCAACGCGCTCGTTGGTGGTGAGTGTTATGAATGCGGCTTATTAGCTATAAAGGTGCAAGACGTAATAAAAGTTCTAATTTCGTTTTTATTAATAAAAATTGGAGCTATTTGAAACAACTCCTCTGTGTTTTTTACACATGATTGTATGCGAGTGTATTTTTATCAATTTAATTCTGCTTAAATTTAATTACTACCATTATTGCAGCCCTCCTCCTGTATTTGTTATATATTCCGAGAAAGTGCATATCTTTACATGTGTTTATATTTGGCCTAATTACATTTCATTGTAAACTTCATCTTGTGGGTGATACTTTGCTTTGTTTTTAATTCATGGAAAATTCGGTTTTCAAATCTTATATTTATACTGATTTCCATCTCGTCCACGGTAATTTCATCATTGTATTTCTTACTTGTGTCACAATCTCAATAAACTATGATAAATTCAGCATACTTTCGCCGTGCTAAACAGAATTAATATCTGGTGCCTGAATATTTCAGTGTCGGCCTCGCCTTCTGAAGTTCACCAGCACGTGGCCATCCTGTGGCGTTCAGACAGTCGTCGTATCAAGTTCACGTGGGTGCCTAAAAGCTGGCAACCTGATGACGACAGCGACAATGTACACTCGTCACCAGAACACGCTTACTTGCGCTACAATACGTCGAGTTCTGTGTTAACTGCGTCGATTGAACGTCTCTTGACGACCGACGCTGCGTTGCCGTACGAGACAGAACTCCAGGAGCTGTTCGACGAACACGCCAACGGTATTTTGTGGCGCATCCTGACGCGGCTCTCACACTGGCATGAGGCGCTCTGGCAGAGTCTCAGTAAAGACGACCTCTACGTTGTGTTCTCTATGATGGCGACGGTTGTTCTCATCGTTGGTATTGGCTTCCTCATGCACTATAAAGTGTGGGTATACGCATTGTCAGATGGTCAGATAGTGATAGTGTATGCATTGTCAGATACGTACCAGTGCTTGCAATGCCAAGTGTCATTCTACTACCTTTGAAATATCATAATACATGATACTTTTTGTCACTAATTTAAGAATCCGCATTATTGTTTTTTTTCATATTATGATAAGACTTTGACACTGGTAAAATCCTGTTTTAGGTTATAGGTCTACGTCAGTCTTTTCGTCTGTATTATAAAAGACGTATTGATTTCCGAGCTCATACTTTAATTAAGCACTCAGATCATCTGCTGTATGTTCCATGTTTTTAACCTGAGTCATCGTAAAAACTAGTGCGTTGTGTTACAGTTTACACCAACATAACTCAAATGACTCGATTGTTCTATTGAATGAGACTGTAACAATTCGCTAGTTTCACAGTACATAAAGGGATTAATCATCTCTTGAGCTCCCGGCCAAATGAAGGCGCAATTCTATCTCCCGTTTACCTTCTGCAATGACAAGAATTCAGTATTAACTAGACCGACTCATTAATTGCTTTTTTTATGAAGCACTTCAAATGGTTTGTAAATATGAGTTGTTGTATCGCGCTTGCTTAGAAAACGTTTAGAAAGTCATATTAGGTGTCTGAAATTAAATTATAATTCTCAATCAGGTTGATGTGTATAAAATTAATTTTTTTAATACCTTTCTACAGAAAGAAAGAAGAGGAATACCTCGCCTCCAAAGGGGTTGACCTTAACCCCAGCAGCAGCAACTGTGCTTCAAAATCGCCCCAGTTACCCATCCATGAGCTGCGAGGGGAGACTTATAATGGCATGGTGAGCGATATTTATTGTTCATTCTCTGTTATTAGTATCATAATAATTTGTGTCGCACTTTAAAATAGCTTTTCGTGAAGCTGTACGACTAACTAGATAGCGCTACGCTGTGCGATGTTGGTTTGGAATCGTACATTTCATCAAAGAAGTCTGTCAACGTGAAACGGGCATTGACAGAAAAAAAAAATACCATCAGCTCTCCTATATTCAGTTGTCATTTTACATGATTTTGCTAAATCAACGATGAGAATCTTAATTTTGACTGGAAATTAGAAGTAATTTGCTGATGCTACTGACTGGTGTTCATTTTTGAAGCTAGTATCCTGGAACAATAATATTTTTATCTTTTGAGTCAGGAACTAAGAAACAGATTTATGTGCGTGATCGTAACTACGATAGATATTTTCATGCGCTTTTAGAGCTTTGATTTGCTCATGCTAACGTACATTCTTCAAGTATATGACGTTCACTGTTGTGCCGACGAATCCTGTGTTCCGGAACTACCTAAGTCAGTGGGTATGAATTGCTTTCATTCCTCGTGGCTTATCTTTCAATATAAAATATCTGCAAGCATATAATTAATGTTGAGTTAATTGTTACAGGTACGTCTACTGAAGCCAGGATGTCGCACGATTGTCCTTCTCTGCGATTCTCACACCAAACCTAAGCTCATGCCGATGTTCTACAAGAGCTGCTGGCCCTACAGGAGGTTTGTGGTTTCCTCACTACTCCGCTTAAGCAATATGAAGATCATATTGATCTATTTTGTCCATCATAAATCATGCTTTATAGATAAAAGTTGCTCTTGAGTAGACATTTTAGCCCATTTTAGACTTGGTCTGAGAAACTAACTGAGAAGGTTTATTAGATCTTACTTTCATTTTTACTCTTCCGTGCCTCTTTTTCTCTACTTCTGTAAACAGTTTTAAGCGAATTCAATATTGTAGATCTCTTGTCAACTATAATCGAAATAGCAGTTCCTGTGCTGAGAATAAGTTCCAATTTCTTGTCATTTGACAGGAACAAGACGCTCATGTTCGGTTTAATCTATAATGAAAACAGTGTTGTGTCAAGAACAGGTTCTTATAACTGTTCACTTGACAGGAACAAGACGCTCATGTTCGGTTTTATGAACATGGAGCGACACTCTGCCATGGAATGGTACAAAAGAATCTTGTTGCTGGGTTTGCCTGAACCTCGAGACCTGAAAATAAACCCCAAGAATACCATCGGCACCGTCATCGCGCTCAACGGCCACAGGAAATACTACTGTCTCTACCACGCCAAGCATCCTGAGGATACACGCAAGGTGAGTTCCATTAATTGTGTGCAGGTATCAAGGTGGATAAGATTTATGCATGATGAGTAGTACGAAATTTGTAAGTGTTCAGGACGATAGACATGTGCAAGGTGAGTAAAACGTAACATAAACAATTATTTAGAACGATGTGATCTTTGCAAGGTGAGTAAAGCGAAATCTATTCAACCTGATAAAATCTGGTAATCTTACAGAGAGCGCTATGTGCATCTGATGAGTAGAACTCAGTCTAGCTACCATTAACTAGCACAATAGAGCCATGCACGGTAAATATTCTTCACTGAGAATTATTTAAAATGCACAAATTTTCTCGAGCACTCCGGGAAAAACTATGAAGGCGTTGTTTCTCAAATCGAATCTAGTATACTACGGGTTTGACAATAAAATAGGTCATGTTGATGTCTGTGCGTAGATGATGACATTTTATTCACCACTGTTTGTATCTTGAAGTTGATACAGTAGTTTATAATTTGCCACTGTACTTTGTTATCAGCTTTCAACATGTTGCTTTATTGATTTATTATTTGTTCAATTTTATTTTATATTCTAGCTACGTAGCAAATGCTATATCTCTTTTAATTCCGAATTTTAAGAGTAATAAATTGCTTTTTCCTTCCTTGCCCGTAAATTTTTTTGTTCAATTTCATTATTCTTAGCCTTGATTACTGTTTTTATTTGCACATTCACTCGTAGAAGATTCTTATTTTATTGCACTGCACCGTCTCCCACAGACGGACTACTTATACGCTGAAGGAGATGGCCAACTTCGTAGACGCGTGAGTTGTTCACAGAGTTTCCTATACTTCTTACTGGGCATTAATAGTTTATTAAGAAAAATTACATGAGTCTTCAATGGCAATGACAACATCACGTCGTAAACAAGATGAATTGCCATGTCGTCGCTTCCTCGGAAGTAATAATTAAGGATCACCAACAAGTGATGAAATTTGCAATTGGCCTAAACGAAGAGACACTTATTAAAATGCTACGTTAGCGCCTGCTTGAAATATAAAGGGCGAAGCTGAAAAGCAAGCGGTATCCTGCATACATAACGATTAAACCCCATAACTAATACCCAGACTCGGGACACCTCATGCTCTTCGGTGATGACAGGTATGAACAACGCCGTACTGTCAAAAATAGTTGCGTGTTTGTAACTCCATCAGCCAATCACTAACGGCCTTTTAAGCGGAATCCAACATTCAAAGCCGCTACATGCACTTGTGCGAGTTTTTATAGTACGTCCCCTGGGCCTGCATGATCCTCACGCACCTAGGGTACAGCGACGCGGTCTAAGTCCGGAAAAGTCGCACAAATTAATTTACATTATTTTGTTGCAAGACGTGAGATGTGCCACATGTGTAGTGACAGTTAAGGCGTTTTGTGCAGTGAGAAACATCTAAAATCATCAAGCTGGCGATGCGCAGAGCTGGGGAAACTACATGACACCCACTAGAGTGAGTTTTTTTTTATGAAAAAAGAGAAATACCTCGCTCCTCCAAGTTGACAGCGACGCTTCAGTAAAAAACAGCCGCTCTTAAGAAGTCTCTAACGCACCCGTATGACAAAAGGGTAGAAACAGTTTCTGTTAACCCAATTAAAAAAATACTTTAAAAATCTAAGCAGAAGGCAATGGTAGCGCCGTCGCAGTGTGGAAAACATCGAATCAAATTCTGTCGCATCTATTGATACACACAAATATTTTGTCAAACAGTCGCCACTAAAGTCGGAATTTGGCATTAAAATCACACATGCATCCAACGAATTACCAACAGTTTCTACAACTTGACGTAGAAACAAGTAATTTTACCTATTTATTCGCACTAGAAATAGCTTGATCGCTTCAAATATGGTTGTATTTTGTTCTTATTTGCATCTTTTCCTTCGTTTAATATCAATATTTATTGACATTTTTAATTTGAAGTTCACGTAGATGAAATTTTCACGCATGGCTATCCAACAGGCTGCGCAAATTTGAGTGTTCCATAGTTATTTTTCCGACGATATTCTCTGTTGATTTTCATTTTCTGATTGATTTTCATTTCTTTTCTTCAGCGCCAGGATAGCGACAGCGAATCGGAGACATCGGGAAGCGACGTCGAAGTCGGCAACAAGAAAAAGGACGCAATGGGCACAAACGTGAGTGTTGCCTACCTATGTGTACTACAATAGATGCAGTAGGCACGAACGTGAGTGTTGCATAAGATTGTCATCTCCAGCAACACGAGGGCTTGATTCTCGTAATGAGCATAAGCTCGTGCTATCAAATTAAATCTCAACTCTTGTCAAACGAATGAAATAGTATGCTGATTTAGAAAACTGAATAGAGCTTTTATATTGCACCAGTATCAGTGTTCAGCAGTGTTCATCAGTTACTGTCTTACTGATCAAAATGTCACTACTTTTTTTTGTAATGATTCGACCTCGCATTTATCATTTTTCGGCAATGGTCTTGTTTTTTTTTTTTGCAATCTTTTGATTAGCGTTCAGAAGTCGCTGCTGAATTGCTGTACCAATAATAATTTATTAACCATACACAATTTTCCCCTGCTTGTTGCTCAGAAGCCCCTGCTGAACTACTACAGTTCGGTGCTGTTCGAGGAGCAGTTGCTGGAAGGCTTCAGCAATTGGCTGGACCGCCTGTTCGAAGGCTCGACGCACCGCTACGCCATCAACTATTGGCCGGACTGGCCTGGCAAGTAATGAGCTCAAGTCATGGTCATTTATTCCTCAATCTCTGGATATGGAAAATATTATTGAAGAAGTGCTAATGAAAGACAATTTGGCTATGATTTTATTGTTATCAGCTGATACTGACATGAAGGCTGAGTGAAGACGTGACGCTGAGTGAAGAAGTGAATGAACCGGGCAAGAATATGATGTAACGAAGTTATCTGTTATGTTCATCTATTTAGCTATCTCTGGGTAATGATAATGTAATTGTTATCAGTTGATTCACAATTTGACAATTAATGGATGTAGATAATATCTGTCGTCGTGGCAAGCATTGCGAGAGACGTTGATAAAATCGGCAAGTAAAGTGCCATAGTTAATCGTTTGAGACCAAAGTTATAGAATAGAAGTGTCGGCGTTGAAGAAATTGGCCCATGGCCTGTTGCTGATTCTTGAACTTTTCGTGACTTGATTCACAAGGGATCCGGCCTTTGGAACCCGATCTTTCCATAGCTGACGATTGATTGAGATAGCTGCTGGACATATTGCCTTGGTATGGGGATAACAACTGTTTTTCTTTGGAAAAAAAACATCCGATTGACTACATGGACAACGGATGTAATATTGACAAGCAATGATGGAGGTTACCGTTACAGTGGACCTTCAAGATTTGTGAGCGCAATGCAATGTATTCCGACGTTGGTTGAATAATGATGAAAGATTAATAGAATAAATTTGGTTTCACTCATGTGAGTACGTGACGATCTACTTGTAAGTAGATAGGCAGTGGATTGTTTTGGTCGGGAGATGTTGTTGTTTTCCCTGTCGTTTCAAGTACAGTTCTAATTTTTAGTTGCGGATGATTTTCAAATAATCTGCCATGAGGTCCTAAGCTCGTAGTGCTTAGGAGTTTGCGTAGTTCTATCTTGCATATTTTTTCCCTTTCCAGCGAGGAAATTCTAAAGCTTCTCTTATAGTAGAGTTTTTTGTAACTCTCCTCTATTTATTAGCCCTGCATGTCTCCCTCTTTGGAATTTTAAAACGAGTTTAACCCGAGGTAAGCAGTGGAAGTTATTTGATTAACTTCACTGAATTCCTGACGGAATGAATAGTCATTTCTCCCTTGCTTCCTTCCAGTTGACTTGTTGCCTCGAGTGACCGTTTGTCCAAGACTGATTTCAATTATTCACCCTCGATTTCTCGGTTTCATTTCTTCACTTTCGGTCACTTTGTGTAAGATCTAAGTTAGTTTGAACCTTTCATACTAACCGTTCACTATCCAGAAGTCATCCCGTTGCCAAGGTCAATGTCGCTAGTATAATGTTTAGAAATCTGAAGTCATGATAATTGGAGCGGTCTAAATAAGAACTAATCCTAATTCATCCATTGGCTCGTCTGTTTCTAGTTGTTAGAAGGCTTCTTTAAAGTCTTCAAGTTGTTGTTTTATAGAATTATTAATAATTTAGGGTTCTGCTTATATACTTTTTCATGAGCTGTGCTACTTCACTGTAAACTCATTATTTCACTTAGTTTAAATTTTATTAAACTTGTTCACAAATGTCTATCTATGCGGCTTTTGTCCAGTCACAATAACGAGTGACATGTACCATACATAGATGATTACTGTAACCAAATCAACATATTGTCATACTTGGGCATTAATGCTATAAGTATTCTATACAAATGGCTAGGGATTGTATGTTACAATACTTTTTTTTGCTCTTAAACTCGCTGAATTTTCATAACTCATGCATGCCTCATCGTAGAGCTAATTATCCTCATCGTAAGCCATTTCAATATATCTTTTGACATTATATATATTTTGATCTCATTATAGACACTTTTGTTATATAGACCGTTTTCCATTCACAAACATTATATTTATTATCAATCTAGTCATTTTATGATCACCGTACTGGTTGTTCATGGCAGTAGTCAATCGACACGTAGCTTTAAGGAAATATTTATGCAATCTCATTGAAATGAACCCCAAGTTCTTAGCACTTCTCTCAACTGCTTTTAAGGTAGTTATAATTACTCAGAATTAGACAGGTTACTTGTAGGCTGCATTCATCCGTAAAATCCTACAAACATTACCCACCTTCCATCTTGACCAAGACGGCTATAGCGAAAATAAGTGTTAATACAACGCGCGGTGTTTCACATCTTGGTCCTCGTTAGACTAATATTGCTTTGAAATTCAAGGTCTTGAATATATGCGACTTACTATCTTGTTGTTTCATTTGGTACAAGAGGAAATAATGTAAGTGCTAATGAAAGACCATTTGGCTATTTTCTATATTTGGTTTAAACACCGTCTCATTACATAATGCTACGTGTGCCAAGACAAGTCTATATGCTTGCTACAAGTTAAGCTGTACATGTATGTACACGTAGTATGGAAACTGGGGGGGGGGGGGAAGTGACTGCATCAGAATGCCCCTAAACAAAAACGCAAAATAATAAAGCAGGCGTCTGTAACCACTTTTTTATAACTTAAAAAATAGGGATGTAGTCTTGCAGCGTAATTTAGCGTCTGTAAGTAAGAAATAATCAATTTCGTGTTGAACTGTCATCTGCTTTCCAATGATTTATTGCCAATTTCCAAAATGAGCTTAGCAAAATTCATGAACGTTAACGCTTTAGAATACTACTATCATACCATGAGATAACTATCGAATTAAATCTAACATTTCACTAAAAGCGTTCCTATCGTCACACAGTGATTTACGTAAGCATTGAAGCATAACACTTCATATGGACAGCTACATAGTGGAACCCGTATCTGCCCAGACTTATTTGTAAGAATAATCTTCTATCGAGAAAACTAAACGGCCAAAGCAACTCTTAACACTTCACTTGTAATTGATCATAACGAACCGCGGCAAAATTTGGAGGTCACCACAAAAACGATTAAATAAGTAATGCTGCAGTCAAAACAAACATTAGACAAAAATATTAAATTAAACCCTGTTCAAGTTTCATCAAAGAACATGATATTCATATCATATGAATGAAGCTTTCAATCCTTCTGTCGTTGAACAAAACTGAAAGAGCATAAATCCGCCAAGTCAAACGAACGAAAAATGAATAATCCTTTCTAAATCTGAAGATTTATATTTACAGAGTTGTACATGTCCAGCAATCGTGTTCGCTAAGGAATATTTTAGGTAGAAATTCTTGCTTATAAAACCTAGATTAGCTATTAAGAGTAATGACCAATTCAAGTCTCGGCCATTGCTCCACCCTCGCCCAAACGAATACGTTATTCCTCTGAAAATAATCAACTTATTGCTAAGGACTATTTAGACCGCAACTCGCTTTTATACTCTCTTGTTCAGACAATCTTGAAATAACCTTTGCTGGGATGTTCACTGCGAGATGTATGAAAAAACATATGCGTATAAAGTTTTCTAAAAAAATGACAGATGAAAAAAATGAAAATGGTTAATTAGTGAGAAGATACAGTTAATATTTTGTATACGAAATGAAAAATGGAAAACTATTTTCTGCTAACCTGCTGTACGTAGGATAAACTTTGCACTGATTAATCTAAACTGCGTTGATAAGGCCAAAGGATAACGTGACTATAGAAATCGCTTAAATTATTGTACATAATCAAAGCAAACTGCAGGTATGTACACTATCACACACGGTTCTTAATCAACTGTATATATATACTACACGACGAGAAAAAGGCTTCGGATTTTTACAAGAATTTTCGTTCTATTCGATTCGAATGAGAACGCGGTCCTATTTTCAGACCATATCTTAATGTTACTCCTAGGTCGATAAAGAATTTCATTTAACACAGCCAAGCTAATGCTAAGAAAAATGTACAGTTGTATACTCTAATAGAACGTTGAACATTTTCGTAAGAAAATACCAACAACTCGTTCAGGTCGCGATACACTGCAGGCGATTGAACAAACTATATTTTAATATACTCTATTTGACCTAAGATAAGAACTCCTTCCTAACTCGCATGTCTTCCTGTATTAGAACTTGCTCATTAGTAAGAAGCTGGTTCTCGACACGATGCATTCTTGTAAGTTAAAGTCAAGTAGCAATACATCATCCCTCAAATTAGAACGAAAGACACTAGGAAATTTTATTTATTTTCCGAGTTCTCAGATGTGTCGGAGGAAATTTTAATCGTACCCGAAAGATATGTAGAAGGTTAAATTCGAAAGTGCGTCAACGAATTCCTAGAAAATATGACAAATTCATAATTTAAACTGATTAATGTTTGGACTAATCTACAATAAATTTCTGAAAGAAAACATCGTGAAAAAATTAAGAAAACAATCAAGATTAGAAACGCGCATGAAGAAAAAAATAATACTAGTCAAAAAAGACAATTCCGTGTGAAATGCGCCGTCATCAGTTAAATGGAACTTAATCACAAGCGACGTCACAAAATGACACACTATAACCACAAAATCACGTGTTGAAGTGAAACTTTCATCTTTTTTTAGCTTCCTCAAACGTCAAAGCTGTCGCAAACATAATAAATAAGTTCATATTTCAGAAAGCCAATCCAGGTAGCGATGTGAGGTCTCAGCTGATAAATTATTCGGTATGAAGATTTGAAGACATCTAATTACAATTGGATATTACCGCAAAGCACAGAGTGACGGATAAGGTAGTTTTACACGATTCGCCTAACAAAAATTAAGGCCAAAAAAAATGAGGACCTGTAAGCGAGATTGATTATCCTGATAATCAAAACACTCGACAGGATCATCAAAAATACAGGACTGTGAAACTAGAAGAATGTGTCAGTGACGCAGGACTTGCATGACGCAATGGCCGGCGCTGTCCGCAGTGGCGGAAATGGTCCAGTCCGGAGGCCTTGCGCTGTCAGACAACAAGTCTCCAGTGAGCTCATCTTCAGCAGCGCTGTCCGTTACTTCACTCAGCGGCGAACTCTGTCCTTCACTCACACATTCTCCGTCCTGCAATGAAATAATATTCTCGAATAACTTATTGAGAGAATAATGCATACTTTTAGTCTGTAGACTACAAAGCTTAGCTTTCGCTTTTGCAACGTTAATCTGCTAATGTACTTCAATAGAACACATTTGAAATAAGAATATTTCAATGAATGTCATTTCAAACTTCATGTAAGTAAACAATAATTTTGTTTTCAATGTATTGTAATTGGTTAAGATCGACTATTTGAGGAATGTGTAAGGTATCCAACAAAATACATTTTTTTAAATTAAAATACAATTATAATTCTGTTGTTGAAATGACCAAACACATAGTTTCAACTTTAAATGAATATGTTTAAAATTTAAACCCAAATAATTTCTGGGAACCATTTTTTCAAATTAAAATACAATAACAGGAGACTTAGTTAATAATACCAAACCAATGTTCATGAACTACTCACCGTAGTTTTTTTAAGATGCTCTTTATAGACGACTAGTGCAGATGGTTTCTTCAAGGTGCCGAGAGAATGACGACCCGCACGTAATAATGAGTTATCTTGTTTACGGGAATTGGTGCCGCGCAGGTGCAGCACAGGGATATTCGTCTTACTATTAACTGTAATACCACCAACACCGCTGTCGTCACTAATATCTGGCGCCAAGATGTTCTTCTTTTGACGCTTCTTGGTTTCAGGTTGGCCAGCTGGTGACACGGCACAGGAATCGGAGAAATGTTTGCGCTTCTTGTTGTTTTGACACTCGCTGACATTCGAAGCTATACTCACAGTCTCGTCTACCTGCTCATGCTCCTGATGATCGTTTTCGTCAGATGACGGTTCGCCAAGGTCATCATAATCCAAAGAGTGAAGAAGCGGCAGGTTGGCAACGGCTAATGAGGGATAAGGTATCACCTCGCTGTTCTCTTTGACCATACTTGCGAAATAATTGTCGCTAAGCGGAAACTTGCGAACAGAGTAAGGTGATACCTCTCTCGCATAGCCTTCATCCTCATTATTGACACTGCTGTTGTTGCTGCTGCTGCGTAGTCGAACGCTGCAGCTGTTGCTTCGTAATTTACGAGGGCCCGGCACTGCAAGTGGTGTGGCTGTTGAATCATTCATGGTAGACGCGGTACTATTGCTGGTCGACACAATTGTGGCAGGAACAGTGATCGCCACTGATACTCCAGTATTTCCGACTATGGCATTTTTTATTTTGGCCAATGCAGGATCATCATTTAATGATTTGACGGCATTTGTGTGTTCCACACCATCGTTGTCACCGTGAGCCGTTGCGCCAGAAGCAAAGTCTTTGGCCGAAGAACCAACGGCTGAAGAGCCACTGGCACTAGTAGCGAGAGCGGCGTCTTCCGAGATGACACTCGCGGAATGTTTGGTGCTCTTTGAAGACTGGTTGCTGTCTTCTGATAGTGCCAGAGGAGTAGCAGGGGGCGTTGCCAAGTCTGATACGTCCACGTGTGGTGACAAAGGGTTATCTGATAAGAGGAAATAAAAGGTTTAACATGGTACTTGAGAGAAAATATTACCAGCTAGACCAACCAATGTAATAGAGAACAAGTCTCGTGGAAAAAATCGAAACAATCTTAGAACAAAATTATGTATAATCCTCTAATATGCGAATTAACGCTCTTCACACATTAGTACTATAATCCTAAACAAATTTAACAAATGAACATGAACCAATTAAGCAGTAAGGAAAGATTTACAAATTTTTGTGAACAAATCACTCATTATCTACAGTTAAATTAAGATTATTCAATGCTCATTATTTTCAGTTAATTTCAGATCAATCATGCCGACTGGAAGTGGTTTTTGATTAGACAACATAAATAGAATTACTGCTTAGTCAAAGCAATGCTAAACTCTACTTTTATAAATGCATGACTAACCGGGCGTGTTGGTGCCGGTGGTTGAGGACCCGGCGATACTGCTGGTCGAGTTGGGTGCAGGCGCCAGGGCGCTGCGCTGCCGCACCCTAGCGTTGCCCCCGTGCCGCGTACCGCCCGTCGTAAGGTGCGCAGCAAACCTAAGGCCCTCGAGCACCTCACTGCGAGCATGGCGCTCCACTACTGTAGCGTCACTCACATCTTCTTCCAACACCACGCCGCTTGTCTGCACATCAATCCTCATATAATCAGCATCTTCTACACGATATCATTGATGCGCAATCAATTCCAAAATCCTCGAATGGATTTTGATGGAACTGGTCGCCGAAATTTTTTCGATAAAAATATGCTGAATTTACTTTGTGTTTTTCTTTACTTTTTAATTCTTAGTGAACTTGCGATTTAAGCAGATTAATAATATAAACACGATATACACTAGCGTCAGGATATTAACCGGGAAAGAAAAATGCTCTTTATTGCAGCGGTAACGTGAAATATTGAAAAACGGAGAGGAGAGTTAAATCAAGAAATTCTAATGTTTTTTTTTAATAAATTGAACAAAGTTATCCAAAGACGGGGTTTGAGAAAGCGGAATTTTCAAATTGGAGTTATTATTTCTCGCGGTGATCGCCGGGCTAACTTGCTGGTTTTGTACATTAACAAGACACGACTGTAGATAGAACATTAGTCTTTAACTACGTACCTGATCAAGTGGTTTTGGTTCCTCAATTTCCCGCCACTTGGGGGTGACAATTTCTTTGTACTCGATGGGCTGGACTGGCGTGGCAGAAGCCATGTTAGAAGGGATGACTATGTTGTCGATGTCGTACGGCGTAGTGCTCTGCAAAAACAGGAGATCCAAATTCTGATACTGCACTAGAATTAGCTATAGAGACAAGACTCGACGAAACACTTTTCAGATTGTTATTTATTTGGCAATTTTTGAAAAATATGAATCAAATAATTAGATAAATCGAGTATCGAGGATACCACCATCGCTCAAGATATTATTAAGATAACATAACAAACTTTGAAGAATCTCAGGGACTAAAAGAGGGCCAAAAAATATTTTGTTTGCCACTTGGCACTCCGCATTAGTTTCTTCGTACTTTCGTTCATGCCAGACAAAAACATTCGACAAGATCCGACACGTATGTATGTATGTGCAGTAGTAGTTAACAGTATTTAACAGTTCAAAAGGAGAAATAGAATCTGAAATGATTCTATACAAATGAGATAATTCAAATGCATGAAACAATTCCGAATGAAAGACAAGATTTTCCGAATTCAATTTGGAATAAGCGAAAAAGAGTAATCCCAATTTAGAAGTGCTCACCGATTTCTCACTGGCATCAAGACGCAATAGCAACCAACGATAACTGCACGCTGGTTTTTATATTTGCTTTTACCTTGGCCCCTAAGAAGCACCTAATATTGAAGAAAACCCACTTTTTCCCAAAGAACACAAGTGAGTCATGAGATAAAGTAGCGATAACAGATGAAAAAACGGTCACTGGGCATCAAGTCACTCGTTCCTCTAGAAGTAGGTTGCGAAGCTATACTTAAATTGTGAGCCTCCACCAGGATATTTCAGTAGAAATGCGTTCCTAGCAACACAGGTCGTACGCTTTGGAGGAGATTCACAAATATATAATCCCAAATGTAACATGCACCAACTACCGTATTGATCGTTCAAAACAAATGGGAAATCAAACCTGTTTATTTCTTAATGCAACAGCTGCCGCGGCCGCAGGTGTAAGAGGAGGTCCAGCAACACCGGCGCTATTAGGTGCAGACGAAGCAGCGGCGGTAGCAGACGTGCCTCCCAAGGCAGGGGCTGATAAAGGCCCGCTCGTCTGACCGACACGAGCAGCGGCGGCAACAGCGGCGGCAATTGAGGAATGTAGCGAAGTTTTGCGGTTGGCCGCACTTGTGTGCTCTGCAGAAACGCTCACCGAGCGCTCCAGAGCCAAATTCGAGGACTTGCCAAGTAACAAGTTAGGCGGCTTGTTGCTGAGGTTACGTGCTCTGTTGCTCGATGGAAGATGAGTGCGCACACCTCCACCAGAACTAAGGTCGCCAGGACTGTGTGGTCGGCGACTCTGGGTCCTTCCGTCGGCAAAAGTTTTAGAGTGCAGTAAAGGACGCGCCTCTGCAGGGCTCGGAGGTGGCAAAGAAGGCGATGACGCACGACTGCTGCCGTGTAAGGACGACGCCTCGTCACCGACGTACGATAAATTTGAGCGACCCACACGTGATCCTCGACTGCAGTCTCCAGCTGCTGCTTCATCTGCCAAGCGTCAGATCAACGTTATTGCTCGCCTGTCTCATTACAGCAGTCCAGAAAGTCAGTATCATTCTTTATTATTGTCTGATAATGTAATTTGTTGGCGAGAACACAATATTTCTCAAAATTTCTGACTTCGTCACAATATTACAATGAAAAACCGCATATTGAGTTATACACAACTCGAAATCAGCACGCCACGGGATATACGAGGGTGTAATTATGCCTCATGAGTCCACACAACTTGAATTATGATATTCATACAATGACGCGAGTGAAGCAATTCTCTAAGGTGCTTCTATTCGAGTCAAGAACTACTACAATCGATTAATGAATTTAATATAAGTAACGTTCTGGAGTTGCAGCAAGGTTCGGCAAAGGTCTCATAAATGTTATCTACCGTAGTACAAGAAATTCAAAGATAAAAAAAACCGTAAGACACTAAAAATATTTTTAAGATAATTGAAAGTTCATTATGGCTCGTGTTAGTTTCATGAACGAAAATATGAGCTAAGCAATACCCGAAAGTATACAATTTAGGTATTTCATATGCTAGCGATTCTAAAAAAGATTATAGGAGTAAAAATTTTTTCGAAACTGCTATCTCAGACGAACACATTGTACATTTTTTTATATATCTGAGGCAGATGAATGAAAGTGGTAACTCGGCAAATTTGGAACTCAGTAATAGAAATAATGTGACCATTTAATTCAGAAAAAAACTAATCGCAAAAGTGAAATTGATGCAGAGGTAAATAAATTTGATCCAAAAAGTGTTTAACAAACGTCGGATTTAAATTGAAAAGAATAATCGCTTATTTCAAGCGTTTTAAAACGATCACAAAGCATAACATCAAGTGTTAAAACAATCCTTGTAACTTACACGACCGCGTTCTGGACAGACAGAGTAGCAGAGACGTTCAACAGTTCAAGCGACGTATTGCAAAATGACGAAAATATTTCAAGCAAAAAGCTGTCTTTTTTCCCAAAACCAGCATGCATGAGGGACGGTTAGAAACAGGATATCATACAAATAATTACACGTGTTTTTTTCTTTATGTAAATGCTGCGGCAAACTGTTCGCTCGTACGTTTTAAATCGATGCAAAACAAAGAATTATGGACCCTATGCCAAATTCGACCATCTACTCAATAAAATGTGCCGACAGCGAAACTGTTAAAGACACTTGATTCAATTAAAGATTGCAACCAATACTCCTCATGGTAATTATACTAGTAATAAATTTTTGAATTTTTACACATCGATATCAATGGCCTTGGCGGAAGAAAATGTTCATACTCTAGTAAGTAGTAATGCAACACCGATATTCCGTTAAAAAGATTCACGAGCTCAAGTACGTTAACATTGACTTGATTCAGCCGAAACAAGTTATAGCGAGATCCCAGTGCAGGTAACATCACGCTTAATGTTTTAAAACCACGTGCACTCTCTCATTTATGTTGTAATGAACATTGTCCCTGAGTTAATAATAAAATACTGACCATGCTTAACCGGCTGTTTACAAGGTTAACTTTAACACTAGGAACTGTCCAACACCAAGGGAATTTATCATTGTCAAATGTTTTTAATCTTCATAAGAGAAATTCTTCGCATCGAAGGTATTGTTCAATGGTTGCTTCTATATGGTTATGAGTTGCAACTTTGCATGCCGAAGCTCTAAACTGCAAACATTGTTATTTTAAATTACGGATAATTTTTAATAGCCGTTAAATTCGTGCTGGGAGAACAGGCTACAGCAAATCGGTCACATTTCAGCAGCAAACGTTTGAGGTTCTTTCGACAACCTGATAAGTTAACGGAAACAAAACTATTAAATTTCGTGAAAGAGACAGGACATGACTGAAGAACGAGTGAATGCATTCCGTGTTATCGGTAAAATTATATGATGAGATATGAGGTATGTATTAAAAAGCCAATGATCATTGAGCCCCATCGCTGTACTGCAAACGAACGAGCTCGTCAAGTGTTTAAAAACAATCACAATCGAGAGCATTGGTCATGATATTGATAAAATGAGGAAATGCGAAATGTAATGAATTGCGTGAAGCTAATTAGTATAGGTCTTCGTTGGTTTATTTGAAAAAGTTAATGGAAGACGAATCGCATGGTATTGAGCTGAATACTATACAGAAACTCGGTCGTTACGTTGTTGAAACAGGTTTTCTCGAGACGTGATGAGTGGCGTAAAGCTAATTACCATTGAGACTGAGTAGAGAACTGTGAGTAAGACCGCCGGTAGTCGCGACCAGCTCGCCCGTCACCGAAGACTTCCTCAGTCCTGCACAGCACACCAGTCCTAACGTAAGCAGACTTGCTCCTAGCCTAACGCTTTCTTAACGCTATCATCTTAACGCAATCTTACACTGTACGAGATAACGCTACTTATAAAAATTATACGCAACCCTTCGAGTCCTTCTGTTTTTAGCTCTAAGAAGTTTTTGATCATTAGAGTAATGGGAAAGAATCTACGTAGAGTGTGGAACTCGGCTGAACACACGAACTTCAAGTAGTGTGGTGCCATAACCACAGAAAAAGCCAACATCGAAAACTTCACCCCCACCCTAAGCATATGTTGTCTCCCAACAAGCCAAGCTTGCTATTTCTTTCGAGCCTTCCGGATTGAATGCTGGCGCAAGCGATCGTATTTAACCCTGCGCTCGTTATAAACAAAGCATCACTCAGCACTAACAGGCCAGAATTTGACATGTACAGACCTGCAATCATTCAGCAAATCTGCAAATTGAGCCGAAAGTTGTTCTTCGCTCGCAACGCAGAAAGCGCAAAAATTTATGTAAAATGAACCTTAATGAATTCGAAAATCGGGTGAAATAAAAATTTAATAAAAATAAAAAAGTAGCAGTAGGAAAATGATTCTAGACGAAGGGAATCTCACGGAAAAATAGGATACTCCAAAAATTATTCTTTTAAAAACGAGTGATTTCGAATTTTTCAATGGGTGGTAGCTGCTAAGAGATATTTGACGCCTTACTCGAAAATGTTTTTTTCCCCAGAAACTTAGTCGATCAACACTTTGATAATGAAAGTCGACATATTTTCTTTTAAAAACAATAAACTGTTTCACCATACTACTCGCAAAAGTAAGTCAACGGAAACGTTGAATGCAGTCCTAAAATTTCTAGGCTGACCGCTTAGAATCCTTATTTTGAGTCGACGTCAAGCCATGTGTTCGGTTGTAGTTTAGCGAGCGGATCTTGAACACACGTCATCTCGTTATCGCACTGAATTCTACTGATTGATCAAAAATTTATTTTATTTGCTTCAATAGTTCATCATAAACATCCGCTAATATTCAATAATACTGTACGTAAAAAATAACAGCAACATGGCTTTCAAAAACAGCTGCGAAGCATTCGAATTTTGGAATGAGAATATTTTTGAACGCAAAGAATAACTTTCGAAGTTGTGACACTCAAACACCTCAAAAAGCTGTGATTACATGCTGATATATGCAGCACACATGACACAAAAATAATACAAAGCAAGCATAGGGAATTAATATATCCCACGATATTGGCTCGAGCAAATAACTGCTTGCAAAGACACATAACCACGATAATTTTATATATTGGCTTACATTATCACGGATAACAGTAAGGAATTTTATTCGCGATAGTGGTTTGCCTCTGACGTGTCAGCAATAAATAGGATACGGAAGTCAAGCGATCCCACATTGAGCGTTTTCAGTTATGAATTCCGTTGTTCAAGAAGAGAATAAAGAAGCTGACCAAGTGAGAAGACTCGTCAACGTCTTGCATACAGTGATGTAGTTTCCCCGCCTCATGAGTTATGATAAAGAAATAAATACTAGATACACTGTAAACCACAAATATTGATGCAATCGTTAATACAATTATTTTAAATTGAAGAGCTAGAGCGTCAAGTTGCTAGAGCGTTGATCAACACTACAATATGAAGTTTGGGAGTTATTGGCTACATTTCCCGTCATTTACATGAACATAAATGGTTTCAGAAGTACAGAAGAAACGAGAATTTACACGAAGTGCTGCATACCCCTGATTTATTCAGCATCATAACGTGGACAAAGAATTAATGAAAATTTAAATCATAATAGAGGCGTCCCCTATAATGAAACATCCAAGACCACATACAAAAGGAAGAACAGGAAACAGAGACAGAAAACGTATCAGGCATCTTAAATGAAATATTCGATATAGGTTGTCACTTACGTAACGTAAGACGTGCTTTCTGCTCGAGCTTCTCCTTTCTCTTGAAAGCTTTCTTCTTCTTATCTCTTCTCTTCTCCTCCCTGTCTTTGGAGCGCTGCTTCATTTTATCCTTGCTTTTCTTCTTCTTTTTATTGCCGCTCTTATGGCAGGAATAAAGGTCTTGTTCACTATGGTCAGCGTCACCGTGGTGGTGACGGCGGTGGCGGCGACGACGATGGTGGTTGTTGTGTCGCGACGATTTCGATGCGAGGCCGCAGTAGCCTGGTAGACTGGACGCCTGAGCGCCACTAACATCAGCTTCATCACAAGTTCCACGGCTGGTCTCCGTTGTGATGAGGTGCGCTACTTTGCCCAGCCACTGGCCACTTCTGAGAACACTCTCGGTGCGAGCACTCATTGCGATTTCTGCAATGAAATAACATTGTGAGACATCCAGAAGGAGCAATTAGCATCGCTTGGGTGAACGTTAAGCAATGTTCTGGTAAAGGTTAAGCAAATCCAAGTTACTACACGTACGTCACTAAGCCAGTCCAAATAATTGCACATGCCCGGAAATTTCTGACTATGCCTGTGGTAAGAAGCTTATATCAACCCCCATCTACATATAAATTACCAGTGTGTGCTCAAGATGAGAACTTGTGTGTTCAACCCAAGATTTGTTCTCGTATTATTAAGTTACATTTCTAATCGGCCCGCTAACTAACCGCAAGTGACATGAGCTGCCAGGCATTTGAACCGCGCATTCCAATATTGATAAACTATGAAACCAAGCAAAAATCATTATTAAGAGTTATGATAACGTACAACCTTATCAATCATTCACAGCCTATGATTCTCATGAGAAGCTCTCACACGATGTGAGCTCAATATACCCACCATTATCACGGGCAAGTAAAGGATGATGCAAGACATCGCTGCCCGCCAACCGCTCATGCAGCGGCTGAGACCTCAGCACCAGACCAGCGCGGCAGCTCGCAGCCACGCGGGGATACCACGCGTTCCTGCAGAGCTGAACACCGCCCGTGCTGCTCGAGCTTCTCGTGCTGTGCTGTGATGATGATGATGAGACACCGACAGCGTTTGTGCTCTTTGGAGGAGTGTGTTTAAGGGGAGATGTAATGGGACGGAGACAGTGAGAGGGAGAAGGCGTCAGGGAAGCGCTAGAGAGCGCTTTCTTCAGGGGAGTTTGCATGCCGTTCATTTGGCTTGCATTACTATTATTTGTAATGGTATTAATAATATTACTACTACCACCACTCGTGTTACTGTACACATTAGCAGGAATGCGTGGCGTCACGTTACACAATGTGACGCACATAACGCACTGCATGGGTGCCACACACCGGCAGCTGATGGGTAGTGTCGGCTGCGGGACAAGTTCCTGTACTGGTGTTCGCCCTTGCCTCGTTCTGCCTCTGCCGTGCTCGAATATATTGCCCACTCTGACCCAGCGACGCTTGCGGTGCCAACGCAATCCTTTAGTTCGCGCGCAACCATCGTTGTTGTTTCCACTCTCTGTATCGGTATTGTTGCTGTTGTTATTGTTGATAGAACTCGCATTGCCGCGAGTAGGAGTGCCGTGATAGTCAGCAGCACTGTCGTGTTTGATGCCGTTGGGGTTATTGATGTTCACGCTGCTATTGAGGCCGTTAATATTGGTACGAGTGCCGCACGTGTACGGTGGGCGGTTCACTGTCATCAGGTTCGCTGAGCTCAACGGAACCGGTGATCGCTCCAAGACGCTGCTCGTGTTGTAACGGTTCAGTTGGCGTAAACGCCTGCAATATTAGACAATATGTTAGAAGAAAAATTTAGAATATATGATAATTATAAATGTTCAACCATGAGAAATATTCTTGTTACATCCTAGTGAATTTAAAAGAATGTTTATTTCAAAATAAAGTTGGTCCGTTATAAATAAAGCAGGAACTTTGTAGTAATTTGGTATTTTGCAACAACCATCTATCATCAACCATCATTGCAACAATGATGGTTGATATAAATCCTACCATAAAATCTTAGCACAAAAATCTGAAGTAAGAACATACATAAGCAATCAGTATTTAGATTTCGACAATTAAAATTTGTAAAGTTGTTTATGACAACATCCGATACGTAATACTGAAGCTCCAGTGGTGAGAAAACGCTCGTAATTAGAAATTTCAGTTCAGCCTAATTTTAAGCAGTAACATATTGCAAAGTTTTGTAAATATTCGAAATTAAACAAGAAATATTGACGTAAATATAAAAATTACCCTGAACACTTATCATCTACCAGCGAATGGAAGCTTGCGGATAGTTAAAAAAACTTGATCTCACTAGGCATATAGCAATTCTAATTTTTCATCAGTTCATAAAACCAACAAAATGTCATGAAAAAAGAAATAGCAATCGGCTTAAGCCTGAAGAATACGTCGAAGATTTAGCAATTAAACGCATGTGATTGCGTTACCCGAGCATATGAATGAGCTTTGTCAACGCCTGTACTTAAATTGAAATTTGCACGATCGAAATCATCGTTCAAATCAGGTCGAAAAGCGTAGAGGGATATTATAAAGTAGCAAGGTGCAGACTTGAAATTTAAACTGCAATTTAATTTGATATAGCACTGATTTTGTGTGCTTGGGGTGTTGAAAATTCTGAGCGAAGAGAGAGAAGCCCCATGAGGCGAGGCGGGTGACGCACACCTCCAGAGCTTCTCAGTCACGGGACAGTGAGTCATGAGATGTTGGCTCAATACCTGACTCTCCAAGCCTTTCCATGAACACAAGCAATCAATAGTTCCAATATGCTTAGTTAATTTGATCCATTCATCAATTGAATCAAATAGTAGGGATTTGGTAGTTTTTCAAGGCAGGAAATACAATTTAAACCGCACATAAAATAGAGGATTCATCATTCTATTAAAGTAGAGTTGCCGTCATTTTCGATTGCAGCAATAACATCATATAATGTTTACTGCGAAGGAATTATATTAAAGAGCGACATAATAGTCCTTCATGTGTCAGGAATTCCAACAAACATCGTTTTATAAGAATTATTAAATTTAGCTCAAATTCATCAGCGCAAATCTACTACATGCATGCCTAGAACATCGACTTCTTTGTTCGCTTCGGTCCATTGATTTTGAGGTCATAAACATTTATATACTTCATAACCACAACAAGCGGTGATGAATTCAAACATATTTTTTGTGAGGGGGAGGAAGATGAAGGTATCCGGCTTGAGTTTAAAGTGGCCAGGGTTGAAAAGACTATGTTGATGAGTAAACCTTACAGGTTGATGAGTAACCTTACGCGGCCACAGATTTTGTCACTCTCACAATTATCTACTAACGATAATTTGCTGACTAGCAGGATAACACGAAGAAGTTTCATAAGCGTTCACTATTTGCCATGACGTTATTTTGTTACTGACAGACGTGGGGAAATCTGCTAGGAAACTTGACTGTAATGATTAAAAAACGTTTAAGAACAGCTGAAGAAACGACGGATGAAAAGCTTTGAACGAGTGTGTGGCGAGCCAACATTGGAAATTGTACCTTCGTTTCGTATTGCCGAGAGCAGCATGAAGGAGGATATTCAAGTGAACAGAACGTGTGATAGGAACTAACGTTTGAAAGCCGCAGCTTTAACAGTGCATCGTTGTATGAAATGAAAGTAGACACCAGAGTGCGTTCCTCGAAAATGACTTGGATCAAATCCACGACACGTTCTACTACAAGGCAACTACTTCTAGCAAACGGACCAGGAACTATTCTCAAGAACGTAATTTCGCAAGTTTGTACGATGACCGGAAGTAGTACGCAAGTTCATACGTTATTCAACTAGAATTCAGTAACCCTCAGGAAAACAGACGAATTCTCGACTATAATTTTGAACTGATCCAACTACCAAAATCAAAAACGAACAAACATTTCGAGAGCGAAGAAAGCATTAAAATTAAATATCAAGGTCATATTAGATCAAACCTGTGTTTCCATCGCACGGTGTCAAGGCTATAAATTTTCAGCCTCGGGGACCGAGGGCAAGTTATATAATTGCATAATTGTGGAAACCTTAAGAGGAAAATTATATGAAAATGAATAATAGAGCTCCCACCATGCAGATAAAATTGCAGTAAGAGACCCTGCAAGAGTTGAGGCAGGTGTAGAAATTAATCAGCACCATCGAGAGTGAAGCAAAACAGCAGCTGTTACGTGGAACTTGCTGCTGCTGCTGGAACAGCGGCTGCAGCAGCAGCAGCAGCAGCAGCAGCAACCGATCAATGAGAGCAGCGACACAAGAGGGCGAAGGCAAGGCGGGAAATGCGCATCAGCTGATGCAGAGACCGCGGCTATATATACATCTTGCTGAACAGCTGTGCAGCCGCCAGAAAGCTAATTGACAATTCATTTCGTCTAGCTTGGAAGTAGGAAACGGATAATGTTTGATATGCAATTTCAACATTAAGTGAAGAAATTATTTGCAGCTGAAGTTTTCCAAAATCGTAAAAATGTGAAAATCAGTTATCAATATGCTTATTGAGAGAAAATCAATAATTATACGCAGTAATCAAACAATTAGACGGATGACTCACACTAGAAGCATGTCAGGTAACGAAATCAACAATCTTCTCGGATTACAATGTGAGGAGAATCAATCAAAAGGAAGAAAGAGCATCAAAGATGAGAATAGTAAGTAGTGAGCTTAGCTATCAAGCAACTTTTACTAACCACATTATTGTTAAATTTAATAAATGAAGAAAGTTGTGACCCAACAGTCATCTGACGTTAAAAGTATTTAATCATTTCTTTGCTTAAATCGCAAGTTAATCAGGAATTTAGAGCAAAGACAATAATACCACATAAATTCACCAATTCTTCATAAGAGAAAAAGTTTCGGAGTCCAGCTCCATCGTCTTCATCCAAACAATTTCTCTTATAAAGAAATTATGGATTTTTTGTTATTATCTTTCTTTTAAATTCCTGGCCATTTGATGTCGAAATAAAGCTGATTATAGCTTACGTTGAAATAACAAAATCATCTGGTAATAAACATCGTTTCAATGAAATCATCTTGTAATCAACGTTGTATCAACAAAATCATCAGGTAATAAACGTTGTATCAACGTAATCAACGAAATCATCAGGTAATCAACGTTGTATCAACGAAATCATCAGGTAATAAACGTTGTATCAACGTAATCAACGAAATTATCAGGTAATAAACGTTGTATCAACGTAATCAACGAAATCATCAGGTAATCAACGTAATCAACGAAATCATCAGGTAATAAACGTTGTATCAACGTAATCAACGAAATCAACGTTGTATCAACGAAATCACCAGGTAATAAACGTTGTACCAACGTAATCAACGAAATCATCAGGTAATAAACGTTGTATCAACGAAATCATCAGGTAATAAACGTTGTATCAATGTAATCAACGAAATCATCAGGTAATCCACGTTGTATCAACGAAATCACCAGGTAATCAACGTTGACTGAACGAAATCATCTGGTAATCAACGTTGTTTGCACAAAATCATCTGATGATGCAGGTATTTTCATCGACATTCGAGTGTACGGATACTCACGCCAGAGAGCGGGTATGTTGATGTATTTTACACTCGACGTCTACGAGCTGAGCCTCCAGCCAGGACCAGCGTGCAGCGATGGCAGCGCGTGTCGCCTCGTAGCGGTACAGCGCCCGCGTCGCTCTGCGGGGGAGGAGGGGACAGGTGTTAATTAAGGCAGGTAAACATCTCATTTGATTCTTCAGTCCTCGCATCACAAAATACTTTTAAAAACGCTCAATATAAATATTGCGTATATACGACAAATGTATACAAATTTCGATCGGTGTTTCTGCACTCACGTCTGTCTGTGCTGTTGTACTGGCGACATGTGTAACACTTCGAATATTCTGAAAATCATTTTAAGGCGGCTGATATCTAATTCTAGGCCCATAACCGTTATAAAAAGGAGTAGAAGTATCATTCAGCACTTCTCACACTCCAACATAAGTCCACGCCTATTAAGGCTGATATCTGATACTTACTTCCATATTCAACGGCGTTGAAAGTGCCAGTCATTGCATCTGCATCTACTTCATGAAAGGCTTCAACCAAACAAACTTAGGTCATTCATCAAAAATTTCAGTCACACTAACTTTTTCTAATATTTTACAACTCCTGACCTCAAATCTATGCTCAAATACGATGTCTTACTTCTAGGACACAACGCCTACATAACCTAATTTATGCATGACTGCTAAAAATTTGATATTCAATTCGTTTATGAACTTCCCTAGTTAGTTATCAAGAGCTTTGTTTTTGGTTCCTTTATGTGAAGCCAAACAAGAACGTAGCAGAATCGTGGCATTCAAACAATGCAGCAGCGAATGTGAAGCATTAAATGTAACTCCATCAGTTGGCGAACAGAACAGAACCGATGAGCGGATGTCGTGCTGTGCGACAGCGCCCGTTATAACCGGTTGATCGACAGCAGTAGACAGGCGGTAAAAGTAGACAGCAGTAGACAAGCAGTGCAAGTAGACAGCAGTAGACAGGCGGTAAAAGTAGACAGCAGTAGACAAGCGGTACAAGTAGACAGCAGTAGACAGGCGGTACAAGTAGACAGCAGCAGACATGCAGTACAGGTAGACAGCAGTAGACAGGCGGTACAGGTAGACAGCAGTAGACAGGCGGTACAAGTAGACAGCAGTAGACAGGCGGTACAGGTAGACAGCAGTAGACATGCGGTACAAGTAGACAGCAGTAGACAGGCGGTACAAGTAGACAGCAGTAGACATGCAGTACAGGTAGACAGCAGTAGACAGGCGGTACAGGTAGACAGCAGTAGACAGGCGGTACAAGTAGACAGCAGTAGACAGGCGGTACAAGTAGACAGCAGTAGACATGCAGTACAGGTAGACAGCAGTAGACAGGCGGTACAGGTAGACAGCAGTAGACAGGCGGAACGGTACACGCAGACAGCACAGGCAGGTATAATGTAGCCAACAGATACAGGACTTCAAAGTAGACCGGGAGTGCAGGTTAACTGGGCAAGGCAAGAATCCAGGTAGCAAGAGAGAGGCAGGTAGAGGTATAGTCTGAGGGGAGCAAGAAAGGGTAGAACGTACATAGCAGTGTATCGTACCGTCTGCATCAGAAGGTTTCTATTGTATGGCGTGCACCTTGATAAATTTTAGTAAAAATAAATAGAAAACATTCATCTTCTAACAAAACTTAGGAACCCTAGCCCCGTCAGTTCAAAAAATGCACGCTCAGCAAAACACAATTACATAAAGTGCGGCAGCCAAGTTCACATTACTTCGAGCCACAAATTTGTTTGGGTATTAATAATTTAAATTCAAGTGTGAATGAGATAATCCACAATAATTTTCTATCATCAGGTGCTCAAATTTCGAGAAGCAAGTAGAAACCTCACAACGAAAATTGGCTTCAATTCGAATAATTTTTCCAGTACATCTGCTCGCAAATTCAATAAAATCTAATATCTACACGTTTTCTTTTTCTAAAGCAACGAGAGTTCGGTTGATGCTGCGTCTAGAAAACGATTTTTAGAAACTATAGTTTAACAAAGAATAATCAATATTTTATAACTGTAAAGAGAAAATGTAAATACAAAGCTTTAAGTTGCTTCAAAACAAGATTCCTGAACTGTGGTATATATTTGTACCCCTAATGATACGTGAACACGTTTGGGGTGTCAATAACGAATCCTTGATATTTTGATTCTTCATTTCACAGAAAGGTTTATTACGAAACAAAAAATCTGGCAACGATTTGCAACAGTTGCCACATGTCACCAGTAACTCGACGGGTACCTGGCGTAACGCGGTAACTATACATAACGCCGTATGGGTAAGAGATCACCAAAAAATTCAAAATCTTTCCCTAGACAGAAAAATTGGCAGCGGAAGTAAACAACGCCGACAACCTTTAATAATCGCGTCCAGAAAATTTAATTTAATAACGAGAATAACAAATTCATGTAAACGTATCTCGCAAGCACCTTTTTCACAGTAACTGAGCTAGAGGTTAGAACCTACACGAAAGTTTTATTTTTGACATGCAAGAAGTTGAGTTTGCTAGGAGTTGGCTGGCGTTGCTGCGCGTGGAGGCAACAGCCCCGCTGTGACGGGACCCAAACGCCGGCAAGCGTACACAACCGGCTTCGCAGGCACGTACATGAGCGGAAACGCGCGCGTATATGCACGTACATGACTGGCACTGCCGGGTGCACACGAACCTGACCGGTTGTGTAATGCGCACACATACACGTACACGAGTGCTAGTACCGTTCACACACAATGAGCGGTGTTACGTAATTCGAGAAACGATCTACAAGCACGAATTTAGTACCTGTGATAGTATCATCACCACACCAGGTCTTCGTGGCACGAACTGCTCAGTGAACCGACGAGCAAGCGTGCACGGATCACACACTCAGAGGAATCAGTGAGACTTGTCCTAATAGCGATACACTTTTTACCTTCTCTTGATCATCCTTACCCAACTTGATAAGCGACTTGCAGAAGAAAGCGAGTAATTATTGGAACAATACGACAGGTTAATTGTTTTTAGTGATACTAAGGATAGTGCACACACACACCTCGGGAGGCTGAGATCATCCAACGGTAACTTTCGTACGGTGGGCAGCCACAAGCCAGTTAGTTCCCTGACTTCTCCATGTTCTACGACCACCACAAATTTGTTTACCGTTTATTGAAGCCTGCGATACAATATTTGTCCATATTTTGAACGTGGCTTCAAAATGTATTTTTACAATTTTGATTACCAAAAACTATGAAACGCAATGCTATTAAATGCTTAGAATATAATAATCAATGCGAAAAAATAACTGACTGGCCTAGCGACAGCATCGAATAATTAAAAACAATCGATGCGGTGCAAATAATAAGAGTGTCACAAAAATGAGTAAATGAAAGTGTCGTCATGTCGTCAAAAACGGCAAAAAAATATAGACGTTTTGCAGCTACATTGAAGAACATGCACAAGTGGGAAATATTTGCAAATACACAGAAATTTTGCATGAGCATCGAAAATTTAAAAATTTGCAAAAGATTCTCAAGTTTAAATGAATGATGCTCATTCTTGGTAAATTATTTGAAGAATATAACTCTCCTGAATAAACCGAGTGCCATGGTCGAAGAGCGGCAATTGAAAATTCGCGTTACAAATGAGATCTGGCGATGGAAAGCAAAGGCCGTACACACATGTATAAGTGTATGAATAAATAACTTAGAAAGACGCATATAAATGAAGACTATCCTAGAGATAATCGCTCACTGGCCGTCGATGGATTCAAAAGTTACGTGTGATCATTCACTTCTGGCATAGCAGGATTACACCCCAAGCTATGAAGAATCCAGTATAATATATTGCAAAACTTCGAAAAAATCATTAGGTACCATTTTCGCGTACAAGCATAGAAATTTTACGAGATTAGAATTTTTAAACCCATTGCGAGAAGTATGAATAAATCTAGGATTTACATGCAAGTATTTTTTTTTTTAATGGTGCATATTGAAGTAGAACAATAAAAGCTGAAAAATCTGTTCTGTTCACACAGGTACTACCCCCAAAAATCACATAATTTAAATTAAAAGATGCAAATGCATCTGACAACTATTCAACTAGAATTTAATACAATTTTATTTATATATTTCCGTTAATTGAATAGATTTTGCTACGTCAGCAATCAAGAAAAAAAGATGAAAGAGCATCTCTCTCGTAGTCCGAGTCAAAACTTCCATTTAAATGTTTATATTAACAGAAACCGGTAGCCGTGAAAGGTATTTTTATGAGGATTTTTCAGGTGACTATCAATGGTAACTTACGACATTAAAAGGTCAAACATTTCATGCTTGAAATCGCTTTCATTTCTTTTGATCAACTCAGTGAACATAGCATGTCAAAGTCTGTGAAAAATTATGCACATCGAAAAATATACCATGACTTCATGAGACAACATAAACAAAGCAGCTCAAACAAATAATAAAAATTTAATTTTGCCAGCAATACATGACGATAGCAATGATATAGGAATAATGTCAACGGAGTGGTCCGAATAACGCCAAAAAATCGTTATCATTCAGTAGTGTAGACCGTAATTAGATAACGTGAAATATTGGTACTGCACCACTCATAATTTGGTTCGTCATAAGGAAACAGGCTAACAGTACCCGCATACCGCTTATTCAGCAAGAAACGAGAACAATAAAAACAGCACAAGTAAAGAGTGCTTTCGACTTCCACCACGAGAGAGGATGCGGGTCCAGCAGCACTCAAACTCAAGGCAGAGAATTTCCACGGTAATAATGTTTTTTGTTCCCAAGCGTTCAAATTATAGACGCGCTACATTACTACCTACCAGAACTGGAATAGAATGTGATTTTCTCCAAGGGTACCAAAGAAAAAATAACTTCGATGGTTGTTTTGTCTTGCATTGATGAAATTTAAACACTGTCCTCATGCCAGCGCTTAACATTAGACCACGGGTTTGAAGAGAGCAAAATGCTCAACATTCTGTCCTGCAGCGGCTAAAGTAAACAAAGTGTCCAATAATTCAGAACAAAATTTTCCGAAAATAATGTTGCGATTTATTAATAATGATTAATGATACTGATAGAAAAAGGACTGTCGCCAAAATGGTTCTAGAAGCAATGGTC